AGGAGACATATTTAATTTCTTTCCAAAATTATTTATATCAGCCTCCCCAAAGCTGATTTATATTTCATATCTTAGCCAATTTATGTGTTATTTAAAAAATATTCGCGAAACTGTTCCAAAATTGAGGAACTTCTCTAGGGAGTCACTGGATGGTTTCAAGGGCATTGTTATATTCCTCTCTACTTGCTACTATGGGGCTGTTTGGTTCTAAGACCTAAGTGAACCACTTTGATGAAAACTGCGTGGGCCCTGAAAATATTCACTGTGTTAAGTGCCAAAATTTATCTCTTGTATCTGATTTGTAGTGATTTATTATTCTTACAATGCAGTATACCTTTGGGAAGCTACTTTGCCAGCATGATGAATTTCCATATCTCTGTTGAAATTTCCTATGATATTACAGATGAATTTATCTGTCATTTGCCAAACCCATACTCCAGAGTGTTCGGAGGGTAAAACTGTACTGGCACAGTAACAAAAATGACAGTGATGTCTTCAATTTACGTTGTTCTTTCCAATGAATTATCTCACTTGATTTTGTGCTCATGGTAACCCTGCATAGTATGTGATGAGATGCTGTTATTCCCATGATTACAAATAAGAAAATGGTGTTCGAACAAATTGAGTGAAATTTCCAACATCAGACAGCTGGTAAGCGGTGGAACCCAGACTCGAGCTTAATTTTTTTGACTCTGAATCCAGTGCTGCTTTCTGTCTACTTATACAATACCATTGCTGTGTGTTTAATGTATGTGCTTGCTCATCTGTATTCTCTGAATTATGGCAAAAATGCTTCTTCTTGCAGAGATTTTATCTGAAATATTTATTTTCAATCAGTGACAACCAAAGTAGATTCAATTCACATATTTGTTGAGTGCCTACAACATGCCAGGTTCTGTATTAGGCTCCTGCAGCTACATTTCACCTATTTACCTCGTTTAGTCCTCCTAAGGGATCTTGCAATCTCATTCCAACTCTAGGACTGTTTGATTGTTGAGTGTCTGCTGTAAAGAAGACATGTGTATAGAGGCTCCAACTTCTCCAGATGATGAACTTAGTTAGGCTTTAGTGTTCATTCTGCTTAAGAGTTAGGATGGCAGCTCTAAATTTTATAATTTAAATGACCTCTTTGAGGAATTCTATTAAGATTTACAGATAGACTTTTTCATGTAAACTTGTATTAGCAATTCTTTAATTTCTGGTTCTTACTTTGTGTGTTTGAAATTATATTAAGTATTTAAAAATAATCTGTTTGCAATGGAAGTCACAGTGGTAATGAACACTTATGTGTCAGGCTTTGAATAAAGATCTGGAATCAGGGTTTGAATTTGGTTATCTGACTTTCATTCGCCTTATTTATATTGAAAGATATATTTATTTTCAAAATACAAACAGTGATAGTGTCTTTCCCAAACTGTTAATGTGATTACTTGTGATTAAAACTACTTTTTTTTTAGCGTATCAGCATACCATCAGCCATAGAAGTGCACTAAAATCTGGCAGACATATTTAAAATTTGAATTCAGTTCCTTGCTGCTGGGCTACTGAGGCATGAAGAACAGAGTCAGGGTTCAGAACCTTTAGTATTCAGAAAGGCAGCCAGCAGGAGTGAAAAACGTTAAAGAACATTTTCCCAGCAGTAGTATCTGGGAGCTACTGTCCATCTCCATAAGTGGTCCCATAAGCTATCTGAAAAGAGGTGCTGTTATAATCTTCTGCCAGTTCAGGGGTGTGTGTGTGTGTGTTTGTAGGGAATGGATTGCAAATATTATGATTTGACTCTCAATGAACAGATCCCCTAGGAAATAGCTGTCTGCCCATCTGCAGCATTGTGGTTGCTACATTAACCTTGACCAAGCAATGCACACCACAGAGAGAAGGGAGCGATAGATCAGGACTATGCTAACCACACTTGCAATGTTTTCCCAGGAAATGAGATTGAGAAAACTTCAATAAACTGTTATTGAACTCCTGTAATTTATTTAATTCATTCAACAAATATTTTTAAGTACCTATTGGCTACCAGTCACTGTACTTGACTTGGGTAAAACAGTAATACATAATAAATGTCTTCTGATCTCAAGGACCCTTTAATTTGACATGGGAAAAACAGACACATAAAATAAAATGAAAAATAAGTAAATATGACAGAATGTTAAGAAATGTCAGCATTACCAAGCCAGGTTATTCCAGGAATGCAAGGAGGATTCAGTCGTTGAAAATATCTTAATTTAACTCACTAGATTAATAGGTCAGAAGAGAAAAGTCATATGATTGTCTTCACTGATTCTGAAAAGGCATTTGATGAAAACAACATTTATTCTTGATAAAATGTCTTAGTAAAATAGAAATAGATGGATACTTCTTTAACATCATAAAATATACATATGTCAGTGCTAACTGGAACATTATGCTTAGTTGGGAACATCAGAAACATTCCCACTAAAGTCAGGAATAAACTAAGAATCTTTACAATTATCATTATTGCACATCGTTGTTCTGGGTGATTCTACCAATGCAGTAAGATAAGCTAAAGATAGAATATGGTGGAAAAGATACTATGGCAGTTTCCAGGCCCAAGCCTTAACTAGCAACTTCCTCTTCCTGGATCTTGGATTCTCTCTCTTGACAACCAGCCGCTATGCCATGAGGAAGCCTAAGCCGACCACCTGCTTCTTTAGGATCACTCTAAGGAGACTGCAGGCTGCTTTTCTCACCTCTGAAGTGATGCAAATATGGTAATAATCATCCAAGGTTTTTACCCATAGTAGAAGATATTGAAAGGTTTGGAATAAGGAAGGTTAAGAGGTAAGCTCTTCATCTTTGGATAAGCAGGAAACTACAGGGAGGTCCACATAGACAGGCCCACAGTCCCAGATGGCTGATGGCCAGTACCAACTTGCCATCCTGAAAGTTCATCCTCCAGGTCCCAGTCAAGCAACCTGAATGATGCTGTGAAGTAAAAAGGGGCTCTCTGTTCTAAATCCTGCCCCCAATTGAAAATTTGTGAGTGAAATTAATGTTTGCTGTTCTTTTAAGCTACTAAGTTTCGGACTGGTTTATTAATGTTGTGATGGACAGTTGGAACAGGTTTTGGTCCCTAAAAACGGGGTGCTGCTGTAACAAAACCTGAAACACGTGGCATTGGCTTTGGAACTGGGCTGCAGTCAGAAGCTGAAAAGGCCTTGAGGGAAATGTCAGTAAAATCCTTAAGTATGTTGAGGGAAGTGTCAGCAGATGTCCGAGGGGCAGGGTGGGATGATGGTGAGAGATTACATCACAAGAAGAACATTCTTTCCTGAATTGTTTATATCCAAGAAAAGAACATTACTTAGATTGAGGCTTTTCTTTAGTGGCTAAGAGCAGAAACAACATTACTCTTTGGATTCTGAGAAAAATACCCTACCTTCACTTCATTCCTGATTTTGCGTAGCAGTTCTTAGCTATTCAAAATAGTTTCACATATATGAGCCTATTTTATACCTTGAATAGCCTATTAAAATAAGCAGATCAACTATTACTGTATGATCCCATTTTAAGATAATCAGATCAAGAGGTTAAAGGACAGGCACAAGTCACACAATTATTTAGGGGCAGAGGCAGCCCTAGATGTGGCTCTTTCTGTAGTCCTAATTCCACAGAAAGTTGTTCCCCACAGTGGGTGGGAATTTAACCCTTGCCACCATTTACACAGGGCAAGGCCAGTCTGAGGAACTGGAGAACAAAAGACGCAATCAGGCGGGACTCCATTTGACCGCCTCTCGCTAGTTCTCTTTCAGAACAACATTCTGGGAGAAGCAGAACCTCATGGTCGTATTGACTTGTTTTCTTTCCTGTCCTAGCTGTTTACATTCTGAATGTAGTTCCAAATAAATGTTTCAGGTTCTGGACGGTTGGTTTTAGCTCCAAGACCTTCAATATTTGATGAGTTTGGGAAACTGAGAAGCTGATAAGAAACACGTCCAACACAGTTCGCTATTAGATTGCTTTTATAATTTCCCTAAAATTCAGACTTAAAGGGGAACCCTGGATACAATTCACTGGGCCCATTACATGAGATGTTTCTTGTCTAAGTAGGAAGAACCCACAGGGGAGGAGAGCAGTCATCTGTGGATGGGTCTTCAAAGCAGCCACCTTGTGCAGGGCACCTGCTTCTTTAAGATCACTGTAAGGAGATGGCAGGCTATCTTTTCCACCTCTGAGGTGATGAGAATATGGTAGTAATTATCCAACATTTTTACCTGTAGTGGAAGATACCAAAAAGTTTGAAATAAGGAAGGGTGAGAGGTAACCTCTTGATCTTTGGATAAGCAGGAAACTATAAGACAGTTTCTGAACTATATTAATCCCTTCAGTTTCCTCCTTTATTTTAGGGTTGGACCACTGCTTCTCCAGGCCCCTGACTTCCTAGAGTGTCCCTGTCCTGAGTATTTACCTCAAGTAAACACTGGGATCACCTACGGAGTTATGTTATTCATTTTAAAAACCAAAATCGAATCATATCCCATGTCTGGTAGCCTTCTGTCTTAAAAAAGCAGCGCCTGCAGATGAGCAGAGCTCTGCCTCAGGACAGAGATGCAGCAGAAATAGGAACACAAGTCCTTGGGAGGGGAGCCTGTGCAGTGTACGTGGCCACCACAGATTGCTACATAAAATGATGGTGTCAATGCTAGAACAATTTGTAAACTATAAAATACTCTACAAATATGAGTCGTTAAATAAATTGATCTCAATTCTCAACAAAGTGTTCCAAGAGTTCAGACAATTTCGATGTAGTCTGGAGCCAACTCTTATGTACGCTAAGATTTCAATGAAGATCAAATATGAAAACAATCACCATCAGTGATGTCAACTATATTAAATGAATTAAGTCGGTGGCATTTGCTGAAAAGCACTGAAGGGCAATATGCCTTTCTAAGTTTATTTAAGCAAAAAGTCAATAAAGGACCTCAATCCCAAGAAAAATTTGTGAAACAGACTGCTTTATCTATATTTTGCAGATAAGAAAGTGAGATGAATAAAGTGTACTGGAAACTTTCATTTCCTGCTGCCTCACTGCTGCCTGGTCCCTTCAGATGGATCTGTGTCCTCCTGTGTGACAGGTATTGGGCCAAGGTGAACACCTGGCCTAGGATTGGTCCATCCATTGCTTACCAGTGACCCAGGACTTGAGTGGATGGTCTGGCCTGAATAGATGAGCTACCACAATCTGATTTTCCCTCTCTGGACATGGATCCAGAATATTCAGCAGTAAGTTACCAACTCAAGGATCTATAGGCCTAATGAAGAGGCTGCCATTTATGGTCATGTTTAAGATGGTTAAGTACAAAAAAAGTGAACAATAGAAAGGAAAATGACAGAAATATTCTAAGATGCACTGAAGTGGTGAGAGAAATGGAGACAAGAAAATGACTGCTCCCCAAATTTACCTTGGATTCTCTCCATCCTTTGGCCTGGGTGTTTTTTCTTCGTTTCCTATGATACTTTACTGGGTTTAAAATAAATTCTTTTTCTTTCTTAAGCGGGTTTGAGTGATTTTTGATTTATAAGGTACTTAAATGGAAGAGAGAGTTTATTGCTGGAGATTATATAGCTAATAATTAGAGGCAAAACTCAGGCATACCCGACCCTTAAGATCTCTCCCAGCTCTAAGCTCCATCTTTTCTCCTAAGAACTTCTCAATATTTACTAGGATCCTCCCAAAAGGCTCAAAGAATGGGTCAGATTTTGTGGATTCTAAGCATCGTGGCACTCTGTTAAAAGACAGAGCTTGCAGCAACCTTCAAATTAAGCCACGTAGGCAGCCACCTACTTTGTTAACGAACATTGCTGTTTCGTTGGTTTTAAGGTAAGGGTAATTTAGACCAATGCCTTGAAGAAACGTTGTAAATTACCGCTTGGAGAGCTTTACATTCTCTTTCAAGAACAGCCCCTGTCTTCATTGTAACAACCGTGCTTTTTCTGGAGAGACTATGCCTGCAGTAACTCTTCATGTATAACATCATAGGCGCCTGGATCACTTCTGTTGTAATGTAATCCAGTTCATGTTTATTCTATTTTACAATTAACTTGGGGAAACAAGGAACAGTTGAACCACTAGAATGAATTAAATCTATAAGAAAATTTTCATCTTCAAGAAATTTATTTTGAAGTGCATTTCTTTAGATTTCTGACATATTTGAATCAAAGATTTGAGAATACCAAAGTCACTGTCAGCTATCACTAGGGAATGCATTTAGAAATATTTTTTAATTTGGTGATCACAAGAGAAATTTGATATCCATTTAGAAACTGTCAGTTTATCATTTTGTGGTTATCGCCAAGGATAAAATATATTGTATTTTTAACTGGCAGAGTTTATTATAAAAATCAGTTTTGCCATTGTCTTTTGGGTATTGCAAATACAAAAACCGTAGTAAAGTAGAGGGTTTATGTGATCTTTATAAAGAACTCTGGGATAAGCCAGATATGTAAATTTGTATGACATGTACATGTGGGGTTCTGTGGATGAGTGGTAGAACTATTCTAACATCTTTAATCACCTTTCGCACGTTTCCATCCATAATTTTGAAATGGTATGGATGATGACCATGAGCTGTCGTGCTAGAATGGCTAAGGAATCATAGTGACTACATTCTCCAGTATGCACATAGGAAGTTTGTTCTTGGATGTTTAAAAGCATTAGATTAAAATTCCGTATATTAAGTATAATTTTACTTGAATTTAAAAAAAGAAAAAGAAACTGAAGTGAAACTTAAAAATTTTCAGATAAATGTTGTCTCCTTTTTCTAACAAGTGCTACTGTTTCCTCAGAGGTTCTTCTGGCTCTGGTTCAAGAGAGAGGACTAAACATTTCTTTGTTCGTGTTTTGCACTAAATTCTATAAAGATGCTAGTTAAAACATATAAAAGGGAATAGAGTTATTACAGGCAGATAATAAGGTGAGGTAGGCTGGGGCATCAACAAACCAGGCAGTTTTGTAGAGAATTTCTAGATGATTGAAAATAAGTGGGATATACTGAGGAATAAACACAACTGGAGGGTTCTTTATCCAAAATATGCACCAGAGTCTGAAGTAGAGATTTATTTCTATGAGAAGAACAATTGTCACTCAGAGATTTGGGGACAGCATATGGACAGAACAAAAATTGCAAGGAGGGGTCCATTGAAATGATGGTTGAAGGGACATCTTTAGAACAGATGTGCTAGTCTTGCTTCCTCCATCTTTCCTTCCTGCTTCCCTCTATCACCAGTGCACAGAGTTCTTGGCCTCATCTGTTTATCTTCAGGCTGAACTCAGAAAACTGCACCTTTTTTTTCCTGAGGAAGATTTGCCCTGAGCCAACATCTGTGCCAATCTTCCACTATTTGGTATGTGGATCGCTGCCCCAGTTTGGCCGCCAACAAGCAGTGTAGGTCCATGCCCAGGAACTGAACTGAGACCTTGGAAGAAGAGCGTGCCGAGCTCAAACAGTAGGCCATGGGGCTGGCCCCAAGAACCGCACTTTTTTAGAGAACTTAATTGCTCTATTGAGGTGTAGGCACACAGGATATAGCCCTCATCATTTTAGCCTGATGAGAGGTTGTGCCATTTGAGGTGGGTGTTGAGTATGGTCCAAGTGTAAATGTCTGCTCCATCTGCAACCACCTCTGTGAGAGCTTGCTTGCTGCCAACCCTACCATTAAGAGAAACAGACCTTTGTACATGCAGAGATATGCCATCCCAGCTGCCTTCATTCATAAATGTGACGGGGTGTCTCAGGGCTGCCAAATATTGGAGGAAATAAACAGCATAAAGGATAACAAGCTAAAACAAGTGACCAAAAAAGAGACAGACAAATTTTGGACCAAGAATAATAAAAAAAATCATTTATTCAATATTCAGTCAACAAATGTTTATTAAATGTCCAATGTGTTCCCGGCACTGTTGTAGGCACTTGGAACACATCGGTGAATAACACATGATCTCTGCTTCACGGAGCTTCCATTCTAGCAGGAGAGACAGCCGATAAACAAATAAAAATAAACAGAGTGAATAGGGAATTTATGTAGGATGGTAAAGATGGAAATGGAGTTACAGTTTTAAATAGAGTAGTCAGGGCAGGCATTATTGAGAAGATGCCATTTGAGCAAAGAATTAAAGGTGGCATGGGAGTTAGCAAAGATGAAAAAGCTTTCCAGGAAGATGGAACAACCAACGCAAAGACCCTAACATAGGAGCGTGTCTGGTATCTTTCTGATAAGCAGGGATGTAACTCTTCTGGTTGCTGCAGAGACTGAGGCAGAGCAATAGGAGAGGAGGGAGAGAGCCCAGGCGAGATCTTGGAAGGCTTTGTCCGCCACTGTAAGGGCTTTGGCTTTTACTCTGAGAGAAGGGGGAGAGGAGTAACATGATCTGACTTCAAATTTAAAAGGATCATTCTGGCTGCTGTGGGGAGGGGTAGGACAAATGTAGAAGCTGGGACCAATTCAGAGGTTATTGCTGAAATCCTGGTGAGACATGATGATGAACTGGACCAGGGCATTAGCAGTGAGGATGGTGAGAACTGTTTGTACTTAGAGTGTATTTTGGAGGTGGAGAAGGCAAAGAAAAATTAAATCCTTCTTAAGAGGCTACAGTGACCTGATAGAGGAAGTCCAAGCTCAGCAACCAGCTAAGAAGAGCCAATTGAAGACTGAAAAAAACTTTACCAGAATCATCATCATCATCCTCCTCCTCCTCCTCCTCAAGGGGATGCAATAAAATCATAGAAAAAGCCTTTCTGCATATAAAAACTCAAACAAAAAGTCACTAGATGAGCTGAAAAAGAGGCTATCCATTGTTGAGAGTTCTGGAAGATAATTGAAAGAAATATCTTACTATATAGAGAAAAAACACAACGTGAGAGAAATTATGAGGGAAATACATAGACTTGTAAGGGAGGTTCAGGGAGTCTAACTTGTGAATAACAGGACTTCAAAATGGCGGAAAATATATAGATGGGAGGGGGAGACAAAAATCAAATAAGTTCTAGAAGAAAATTTCCATAAGCCTAAAAAAAGACAGTGAAAGAAAGACTTGATACCATATATTGAAAAGATTTACAAGGCCCAGACAGATTAAAAAAAGTCACACACGTAGACATATCCTGATGAAATTTCTGAATTCCAAGAATCTTCAGAAAATCTTTTAGATTTATGAATTCAAAGAAAGTTACTAACAAAGGAAGGACGACGAGTATTGGTTTTCCATTTACTACACTGAGAGCTGAAGGGCGATCTTTTGAGAGAAATGGACAGTGATCTAGGCTTTATATATGTTTGTAAGATATTGCCCATCTAACAGAGAAAAGAGAGGGTATGTTACTCATGGACTATCTGAAGAAAATTCTTGAGAAAGAAAATTGCCAAAAAGAAAAATGGAATGGATTCCGTTCAATAGATTGTGTGATTAAGAAAAACTGGAAGAAATTAGTGATATGGTGAAGAAGGTAAATATTTCTTCTCTCAACAAGAATAAAAGATCAATTGGCTATCTATCTAACTATCATATATCTGTCTATTTACCTTCCTCAATGGATAAAGATAATATTATTGGAAAATGATAATGCAAGTGCTAAGTAAACCTTAAAACAGAAGAGACATGTGAGAAAACTAAATGACAGCCTAGAGCTGAAATTCTAAACTATCTTGGCAAAATACGGAAGTTGAGGGCAGGACTAAGGAAAGGGGGCTCCAGTTGAGAAGAAAAGCAATCTCAAGTTTCATTTCCAGAGTTGGGAGAATGTCGGCAAATAAAATCTTGATGGCGGTAATAGTTATTATATTTTGTATGTCATCAGCCAATTGAAAAGTATAGGAGAATTTCCAAATTAACATTGGCAGGGAGGAAGGGATAAAAAAAATTGACCCAGACAACAAAAGTAACAAAGTTGACGAAAGGAAACCACAAAAGTTGCAAGTAAGAACATAAAGAAGATGGAAAGTAAAATGAACTATATTATTTTTCAAGGTAATTATGAACAAACAGAGTTTACCTACCAAAAGATGGACCTTTTGTCCTCCTACCTACCAGAGACTGCCAATTTGTACTTAGAATTTCCACAGCAGTTCGAGACACCCCAGCAATAATTTCCATTTGGAGAGGAGTCTTTGGAATTCTGAGCACTTAATCTGATCAGAGGGTACAGGAACCGAACTGATAATTTAACCAGAGTTCCTATAGGTGAGAAAAGCAAAGGAGAGTTCAACTATCACATTTTTGTGGGGATCTTTATTAGTGAGTTTCACATAGAGAAGACTGCTCTGGGCTTCCACCTTCACAGATTTTTCAATGTAATGGCATTCAGATGAGGTCTTGGAATTTGTAATTTTCATAAGCTCCCTGGTGATTCAGAGATGCAGTTGGATTTAGAAGTGATTCCTCTTGGCCCAGATGCAGCCTGTGTTAGTGTTGTATGATACAGTGAATGTAGAACGGAAACAGCACAGCCTGAACTATATATGCGTAATCTTGACAATCTGAGAATTTGCCCTTGGGTT